GAGAACTCGAAGACCACGAAGTAGCCTACAGTTGGCTCCGCGCATTCAGAATGTGGCTCGGGAGTGCAGTTCTGGGAACTCGAAGACCACGAAGTGGCCTACAGTTGGCTCCGGGCATTCAAAATGTGGCCCGGGAATGGAGTTCTGGGAACTCGAAGAACACGAAGTGGCCTACAGTTGGCTCCGGGCATTCAAAATGCGGCCCGGGAATGGAGTTCTGGGAACTCGAAGACCACGAAGTGGGTTACAGTTGGCTCCGGGCATTCAGAATGTGGCCCGGGAATGGAGTTCTGGGAGGTCGAAGAGCACGAAGTGTGTGACTGTTTGCGAAAAACAAATTCGGACACGAGTTCGGACACAGCTCCCCGGATGCCGCCCCGACCCCCCTGTGGAGTCATCTGCTGTTCTCTTTTGACCCCACTAGATACCTATCAGCAAAAGCTGTTAAGTAAATACCCCCGAAGAGTGCCCCAAAAAGGTCAGAAAATGCCCCCAAAATCATCCCCTGACAATTGTTGGAGCATTTGTTGATTATCTGGTTGTCAGAGTGAGGGGGCCGAACGGTCATTCACTGTCCCTGGGTGCGTGGCTGAAGTGGGATTCCGCGGTGCGGATTCGTGTTGTTGTTGTTGTTGTTGTTGTTGTTGTTGTTGTTGTTTGTTGTCGTCGTCCCACCCGCAACCCGCCCCGCGACCCACCCGCGACCCACCCCACAACCCACCCGCGACCCACCCGCGACCCACCCGCGACCCACCCGCGACCCACCCCGCGACCCACCCCGCGACCCACCCCGCGACCCACACCGCGACCCACCCGCGACCCACCCGCGACCCACCCGCGACCCACCCCACGACCCACCCCGCGACCCACCCGCGACCCACCCGCGACCCACCCGCGACCCACCCCGCGACCCGCCCGCAGCCCACCCCACGACCCACCCGCGACCCACCCGCGACCCACCCGCGACCCACCCGCGACCCACCCGCGACCCACCCCGCGACCCACCCGCGACCCACCTTCGACCCAAACCACGTTCAAGGTACAAACCAACATTTTCGGCGCCTGCGGCGGGCTTTTTTTGCATTCCTTCCAGGTGGAGAGCCCGCGACACACCCCGCGACCAACTCGCGACCAACCCGCGACCCAAACCGCGTTCAGGGTACAAACCACATTTTTCGGCGCCTGCGGCGGGCATCTTTTGCATTCGTTCTAGGTGGAGAACCCGCGGCCCACCCGCGACCACGATCAGGGTACCAACCACATTTTTCGGCGCCTGCGGCGGGCATCTTTTGCATTCGTTCTAGGTGGAGAACCCGCGGCCCACCCGCGACCCAAACCACAAACCAGATTTTTCGGCGCCTGCGGCGGCCTGCTTTTGCAGGAGGACGAGGAGGAGGAGGAGGAGGAGGAGGAGGAGAGGAGGAGGAGGAGGAGGAGGAGGAGGACGACGGACGACGACGACGACGACGGCGACGACGACGACGACGACGAAAAGGAGGAGGGGGGAGGATCGGGAAGGGGGGGGAGAGGAGGAAGACGACGAGGAAGAACATGACGACAATGGGAGGGCGATGATGGAAGGACGAGGGGGAGAGAGGGAGGACGAGGAAGAAGAGGAGGAGGAGGAGGACGAGGTGGAGGGGGAGGAGGAGGACGACGATGACGATGAGGACGAGGACGAGGACGAGGACGAGGAAGAGGAGGAGGAGGAGGAGGAGGAGGAGGCGGATGAAGAGGAGGAGGAGGAGGAGGAGGAGGAGGAGGAGGAGGAGAGCGCCATCGACAGGGAAGGTGGGGGCCACGAGGTCCGCCGGCTTGACGACGCCCACGAACGCGCGCCCGCCCCCTCACTCTTATCCGCAATTGCGGGGTGCTACGTTATTTTATTTTTTCGTCGAGCATCCCCCTTTAAGGGGACAGGCCAGGGCCTCTCACCCCGGCCCCGCGAGCCACGGCTGGAAAAAGGCCAGTCCCCCAGAAAGCGTCCACTCCCCCAGGGGCCCCTCGGCGGAGGGCTGGCAGCTCTGGCCCCCCCTGCAACAATTTCTCCAGGAGGCCTCGTTAACCCGTGCGCGCCGGCAACTTCGCGCCCGACAGCGCGCGCTTGCGGCCGCCAAGCCCCGCGACGCGCGCGCGCCAAGACCTCCGCGGCAGCTCGCGCGGCCGTGGCAACGCGGCCGCCCCCGGGCACCCGGGCGACCGGTCCGACGCGAGAAGCTCCACTGCGAAACCAGGCCACATCCCACGGGAGCGGCCCAGAGCCCCGAGGACGATCACCAACCCGCTGAGAACTCACATCGGCCTTGAGGACGCGGGGCCGAACCCAGCCAAAAAACTAACAGCGCTTTGACCACAGCACGACGCAGCAGAAGGTGCATAAGCGCGCCGGCATGGCTGCAAGCCGCCAACAATGCTCCGAAGCAAACCACACCCCTGGAATGCAAACCAAAAGCTGGCCTGAAAACGCCGATCAACGACCAAACGTATCCAACTCATCCTAAAAGGGCACTGAAGAGCACGGGCCTCTTCAACCTGATACTGCCACAAAACCCGACCTTGGAGGACAAGTGGGCGTGACTTGCGAGAAAACAGAACAGCAAAGAAGAGGATGCCTACAGCGCGCATGACGTGGGTTCCCGCGTTGTCCGTTTGACGCTGTGAGGGTTTGTCGAGGCGCCCCCAGCCGTCCCGGGGTCTTGTTTGGGCAGTCCCAGTCCTCTCTTGGGCGTTTCTGGGGGCTTGCTGGAGGCCTCTCGAAGCCTCTTGGGGCCTCTTGGGGGGCTGTTGGGGGTCTCCTGGGGACCTCTTGGGCTCCTGGGGGGCTCTTTGGGCGGGGGGCTCGAAATGTCAGTCCCCGCGCCCGGCGGCCGCGCGTGGAACGCATCGTGGCGTCGACGGCCAACATTATTCTAAGATGCTCGCTGCCGCGCGCAGCAATCAAAATCAATTAAAGGCTTGGGGGTGGGGGGGGGGCCAGAGGCCGCTGGCCAACGACCACCATTCCTGTGAGATGCGCACTGACAAGCGAAGAATTGAAGCTCCCCGATCCCCTGGGACCCAAAATGACGTTTTGAGGGGGGCCTTCCCCAGGCCCATGACTTCGCGAACGCTCTACCTGGAGCCTCGGGAGTTTAAAAGAGCTCGAAACAGCCCAGGAGGGCTCACACAGAGCGCCAAGATAATTCGATAGGGCTTTAAAATGACCCAGGGCAATCCCACGACGGTCCGACACGGGCGCGCGATGACCCACGCGGCCCCCAAGACGGCCCAAGAGTGCTCCTAGATGGCCGCCGAGAGAGCCAGAAGAGTCTACCATGTTCTGAGTCCTATAGGAAACGCACCTGTTTCGCTCACTCGCTCTTTTCGCCATGCAAGCGTCCAAGACGGCCCAAGGGACCGCCGAGAGCATTCCAACGCGGCCCGCCAGGCCCCTAAGATGGCCCGAAGACGGCCCAAGAGGGCCCCAAGACAGGCCCAGGCGCCTGCCAGACGGCCCGAGAGATCCCCAAGAGGGCCCCAAGCCTCAAGAGGGAGAACGCAAAAGGTGGCCCCAATTGGCAAGAGGGCTCGAAGAGCCCCAAGCTGCCACGAAGAAGCCCCCCAAATTATGATATCGGAGCTCCCCAAAGCAAACTTTGATTGACTTGCGGGCTTACGGAGAACACCTTCGCCGTCCTCGCTCTGGCAGGGCCTCCCTGGAGGAGGGGGGGGGCGCGAACCCTTACCAATATCATGGCATGCCTCCTGTTGAATGCCCCCCCCGCTCTGGCTGGGCCTCCTTGGAGGGGTGGGAGAGGCGCGAAACCTAGGACATATTATGATATGCAAATGCCCTCGTCGCTCCGCCGGGGCCCCCCTGAAGACGGGAAACGGGAGGAAGACCTCGACAGAGGGGCGCATTACGGGCCCGAAGTCAGCGCGCAGTTTCGACTCCAGCCCAGCGAAAGGGACTTCCTAAAGAGCCAGGGGGGCAAGAGATCATAATCAACTCCCTGTCTTCGCTCCTCCTCCTCCTCCTCCTTTTCCTCCCCCCCCCCTTTTGTCCTCATCCTTCTCCCCCTCGCCCCCCTCCGCCACCTTACTTCATCATAGGGCCCCTCTCTACCTATCGATGGCCCAGCGTTCCTCCGCGGCATTAGATGGCCTTGGCCTGCTCCAGCGGGGCGCAAAGGTCCCGAGTCCTCGTCGCCGCCGCCCTCCCAGCGACTGATGGAGAAGCCTTGCGGCCGGTCTCGCCGACGCTGAAGGGGGGCCCGGAGGAAAGCTCCAGGAAAGCCGCGGACTCGGGGAGGCTTCTTTTTGAAGTGCGGTCTGCGGGGAGGCTCGTCGCTAAAGTTGTTGAGGCCTCTCGGGGGGTTAATTGCGGGGAGCGCGCCGGAGGCCTCGGGAGGCCTCTCGGCGTTCCCTTGGAGGGCCTCTTGGGCAATATTGAAGCTTTCCTGGGCTGTCTTGGGCGCGTTTTAGAAGCCTGTTGGGCTTTTTTCGGGCGGTCTTGGGGGCACCATGGGCTGTCTTAGGCGGGCGGGGGCCAGAGGCGGCGAGCACTCGGAAAACCCTTGAACACAGTCGGGGGCTCATGGGTTGCGGCTCCTTGGGATTCTCTCCCGCGGGTGCTCTGCCGGCCGCGCTGGAGAGAAGCAGGCCCAAGTACGCTACAGGTTCTCGCGCCTATGGCTCCCTGCGACGAATGGGCGCTGGGCCGGGACATGGGGGCGCACGCGCGCAGACGGAATAGGGGCGTGCGGAGGCGCCCTGCGGGCGCTCGCGGCCTCTCTGGGCAGGGGAACGCGCGGCGAGGGGCGCAGCGTTCCCTGAGGACTTTTGTCGTTTACGTACCGCAAAGATACCTTGAAGAGACAGCGCAGGGATGCGCAGGGCTTCCACACCACGCGCCCCGCGCCGCGCCCGCCTCTTCCGGGCCCGCGCTCTTCTCGGGCGGAGGCGGGGGGCGCGCGCGGCACGGCGAGGGCGCTGCTGGAGGCGAAGCGGAAGCCTCACTCCAGCGCGTCGGCGGGCCACTTGCGCGCGCGCATGATGGCGGGGGCCCTCGCGATGTGCTCCGCGTGGAAGCGTTGCGCGAGACTGGGCGGCCTGCCGCCCGTGGCGACCGCGGAGGCGCTGAAGCAGCGGATCCGCAAGGAGGTCACGAAAGCGGCGCGATCACGAAGGCAGCCTTTCAACAGCGGAATCCGGTCGCGGTGGGGCTCGCGATCACGAGCCTCCGCGGCGCGGCATCCAGCAGCGGGCGAACGTGTTCGTCGAGGTGGCGCGCGCGCGGGCGGCGGCGAACCGGGTGGTGGACGGCGCTGCGGCAGCGGACCTGAAGTCGTCGCCGGGCGCCGTCGCGGGCCCGCGCCTCCCGCGCGATGGGTACCTGAGCTCCTTGTTCACGTGGTTGTGGGCGGCCGTGGGCGAGGCGTCCGAAAGCGACATCGACGCCCTGACGGGCGCCCCCGTGGCCTCGGGGACCGCGGCGGGCGCTGCGAAGCTCACCGGCGACTCCGCCGAGGAGCTTGAGACGAGCAGGGCGCTCGTCATGGCCTGCGCGCTGGTGCTCGTGGAAGAGATGGACGCCCTGAGGTCGCGGGGCGGCTAGGAGGGCCGCCCCCCCATTGGCCTGGCGCAGCTGCGCGGGTCGCCCTGCAAGGACTGGAACATCGCCAAGAAGGAGTTGGCCTCGCAGGGGCCCCCGGCCGCTTGCCTCTCTTGCCCTGGCCCAAAGAGGGGCGGATTGATGTGCGCGGTTTTGACTCCGGCCGCCTCTGGATTCAAATATCCGCCACCGTGCCTTGAGCTTGTAGTGGAGCGTCCCAAGGCTCATGCAGCCCCCGCAGACATAGAGGTTGCAAGGTTGGTTTGATCTTAAAGGGTCGGACCCCCCTTTTCGCAAGGATTCCTGGGGCTCCCCGGGATTCCCTAGGATTCCCCGGGATTGCCGGGAGCTCCCGGGCGCTCCCGGGAGCTCCTGGAAGCTTCTCAGCCAGCTTCAATAGGCACCGCAAGACAGCCCACGAGATTTGAAAAATCGCCCCCTGACGCCCAACGCGGCCTCAAGACAGCCCAAGAGGCCGCCAAGACGCCCGAGGAGGCCTCCAAGAGGTTCCAGAAGAGGGCCCCGAGAGGCCAGAATCGTTGATTTGCATTGGATTCTCAATGTTTTTGGGGTTCGCGCCCTTTCGGCTTCCCGACGCTCCAAGACGGCCGAAGAGGCCCCCGAGACCACTCCAAGACGGCCCGAGAGGTGCCCAAGACGGCCCCAAGACGGCCGAAGAGGGCCCCAAGGCGGCCCAAGAGCCGCCTAATATGGCCCAGGAGGCCCCCAAGACGGGCCCAACAGGGGACCAAGAGGGGGGGCGCGAACTCCAAGACCGAGACTTCCGCCCCAAGAGGCCCGCGGGAGGCCCCCAGCGGCCCCAAACAAGCCCTGGGAGGCACCCAAGAGGCCCCTAAGACGCCCTAAGACGCCCAAGAGACGCCCCAAGAGGCCCCAAAACGCCCCCCAAGAGGCTTCCAAAACTGCCTCCCAGAGGCCCCCGAGAGGCCAACCACCAGATCCCAATCAACATCTATGAGGTCTGGGACCCAGCACCCAGGCACGGTGGCGGGATTGGCCGAAGGCCACTAGAGAACTACAGATTGTCATTAAGAACAGAAGGTCGGCCCAAAAAAAAAATGTTTAATGATTGTCTGGTTTACCTTTGCCATTAGGAAATGCCGTATACGTCGCACTCGGACGAAACGCACATTTATTTATTATGCTGCTCAGGTGCAAAGGTAAGGCAGCGGAAAGCGGGGGAGGGGGAGGAGGACGACGAAGAGGCGGCTGGAGTCAAAACTGCGCACATGAATCCGCCTCTTTGGCACGGGGTGAGAGGGCAGCGGCCGGGGGCCTCTACGGGGCCAACGCCTTCTTGGCGATCTTTCAATCCTTGCAGGACGTCCCGAACCCGCGCCGCTTCCATTGGCATAGCTGCACGCACAACCGCGCCGGGCCAATGGGGGGGCGGCCCTCCCGGCCGCCCCGCGGCCACAGGGCGTCCATCTCCTCCACGAGCACTGGCGCACGGGCCATGACCAGGGCCCCGCTCCTCTCAAGCTCCTCGGCGGAGTCGCCGGCGAGCGTCGCCGCGCCCGCCGCGGCCCCCGAGGCCATGGGGGCGCCCGCGAGGGCGTCGATGTCGCTTTCGGGCGCCTCGCCCACGGCCGCCCGCAACCACGTGGACAAGGAGATCATGCACCCATCGCGTGGGAGGAACGGGCCCGCAACGGCGTCCAGCAACGAATTCAGGTCCGCTGCCGCCGCGCCGTCTGCCGCCCGGTCCGCCCGCTCACACGCGACGTCGACGAATTCGTCCACTCGCAGCTGGAGGGCCGGCCCACGGAAGCTCGTCATCGTGAACCCCAGCGTGGCCTGGATTCCGACGTTGAAGAGCTGCCTTCGTGAGCGGGCCGCTTTCGTGACCTCCCTGCGGACCCGCTGCTTGAAGGCCTCCGTGGTGGGCACGGGCGGGGGGCCGACCAGCTTCGCGAACCGCGGCGCCCACGCGGAGCACGTCGCGAGGACCCCCGCCAGCAGGCGCACACGCAAGTGCTTCGCCGACGCGCTGGACCGAAGTTTCCGATTCGCCTCCAGCAGCTCCCTCGCCGCGCCGTGCAAGTCTCCCGCCTTCACTTGAGAAGAACGCGGGTCGAGCAGAGGCGAGTAGGGCACAAGGCGCGTGGTGCGCAAGCCCTGCGCGCCCCTGCGTTGTCTCTTCAAGGTGTCTTTGAGGTATGCGACAAACCTTCTCAGGGAACGCCGCGCCCCTCGCCGCGCGTTCCCCTGCCCAGCGAGGCCGCGAGCGCCCGCAGGGCGCCTCCGCACGGCCCTATTCCGTCTGCACGCGGCGGTCCCCATGTGCCGGCCCAGCGCCCAGTCGTCCCTGAATGGCTGTTCGCATGCCGGGCACTTCACCACCATGACGCTCCATCTGGCTCGCGGCGGCGTGAGAATCGCAGGGAGACGCAGGCGCGAGAACCAGCAGCGCACTTGGGCCTGAACGCGGAAGGGATCCTTGGACGCCCGAGTTATCCGGGGTAACTCGGGTCCGGGGTAACTCGGGTTTGGGTTCCCAAAGAACGACCCCGAGTTAACCCTGACCCGAGTTACCCCTGATGATTCGGGGCTCTGGACGCCCGAAATATCCGGGGTAACTCGGGTCCGGGATAACTCGGGTTCGGACTCCCGAAAAACGAACCCGAGTTAGCCCTGACCCGAGTTACCCCTGATGATTCGGGGCTCTGAGATCCGTTGCCGACCTCTGGAAGGGGAAGGGGAAGGGAGGAGGAGGGACGCTGGGTCCCTCCTCGTACGCCTCAAGATGGTTGTACAAGCACCCGCAAGAGAGAATCCCGAGGAGCAAAAACCAATGAGTCCCCGATTGTGTTGGATGGTTTTTCGAGTGCTCGCCGTTTCGGGCTTCCGCCCGGTTCAGACGGCCGAAGATGGCCCCAAGATCGCCCGAAGACAGCCCAAGATGCCATTAAGACGCGCCCAAGACAGCCCGAGGAAGCCTCAAGATTGTCCAAGAGGGGGTCCCCAAGAGGCCCGAAGAGGCTTCCAATAGAGGCTTTAATATCGGCCATGGAAGGGAATCCACATTGGGATTTCGACCAACTCCCTTATATATAGTCTCCGAGCCCGCCAGCTCGCTCCGAAAAGGACGCCAAGAGGCTTCCCGAGGCCTCTCACACTCTCTCTGCAGAGCCACGAGGGGCTTCAAAAACTTCTCTGCGAGGCCCTCCGAGAGGCCGCACTTCAAAAAGAAGCTGCCCCGAGTCCGCGGCCTTCCTGATGCCTTCCTTCGGATCCCCTTTCAGTGTCGGCGAGACTGGCCGCAAGGCTTCTCCAACCGTCGACGAGGACGACGAACACGACGACCGGCGACCATTGATGTACACAGTTTTGACTCCGGCCGTCGTTGTCGTCGTCGTCGTCGTCGTTGGCGTCGTCGTCGTCGCTGTCGTCGTCGTCGTCGTTGTGGTCGTCGTCGCGGTCGTCGGCGAGGCGGCCGGAGGCAAAACTGCGCACATCAATTTGCCCTGGTGGCACAGGGCGAGAGAGGCAGGTGCCGACGACGATGACGACGAGGACGACGAAAACGACGACGACCAGCGACGATTGATGTACACAGTTTTGACTCCGGCCGTCGTCGTCGTCGTCGTCGTCGTTGTTGTTGTCGTTGTCGTCGTCGTCGTCGTCGTTGGCGTCTTCGTCCTCGTCGTCGTCGTGGACGTCGCGAAGGCGGCCGGAGTCAAAACTGTGTACATCAATGTGCCCCGCTGGCACAGGGCGAGGGAGGCAGGTGCCGGAGACGACGCCGACGAGGACGACGAAGACGACGACGATCCGCGACGATTGATGTACACAGTTTTGACTCCGGCCGTCGTCGTCGTCGTCGTCGTCGTCGTCGTTGGCGTCTTCGTCGTCGTCGTCGTCGTGGGCGTCGGCGAGACGGCCGGAGTCAAAACTGTGTACATCAATTTGCTCCGCTGGCACAGGGCAAGACAGGCAGGTGCCGACGACGTCGACGACGAGGACGACGAAGACGACGACGACCAGCGACGATTGATGTACACAGTTTTGACTCCGCCTGTCGTCGTCGTCGTCGTCGTTGGCGTTTTCGTCGTCGTCGTGGACGTCGGCGAGGCGGTCGGAGTCAAAACTGTGTACATCAATTTGCCTTGCTGGCACAGGGCGAGAGAGGCAGGTTTGGGGACCTGTGGGCGTCTTGGGGACCTCTAGGGGCTCACGTGGGTCTCCCCAAGGCAACCAGGGAGGGCCAGGTAGGGCTTCAACAAGGCACCAAGGGCGCCCCAAGACCGGTCCCAGGGGGAGCAGTTGTGGCCAAACTCCGTCTGACGGAGTTTGTCGACGCACGTACTCGCAAGGTGCGCTGTGTGGTAGGCTGTCTGGTAGGGTAGCCCACTGTATGGCCAAAGTGGCCTATTCCTTAGGTATCTCATAGACTCCTGGACAGGGAAGACGTCCGACGAAGAAAGCTGTGTAATCGTGGTTGGCCTCTCGGGGGCTTCTGGAAAGCCGTTTTGAAGCGTCTCGGGAGCAGCTTTGAGACCTCATTTGGGCCTCTTGAGGGCCTCTTGGGGCCTCTAGGGGGCCTCTTGGGCGCTTGTTGAAGCCTCTTGGGGGCCTCTCGGGGCCTTCTGCGGGCCTCTTAGGGCGGAAAGCTGGAATTTTCGGTTCGTGGTCCCTCTCTTGGGCCTCTCTTGGAGCCGTCTTGGGGCTCTTTTGGGCCGTCTTGGGCGCCTCTTGGGCCGTCTTGGGCCTCTCTTGGGCCCTCTTGGGCCCTCTTGGGGGCCTCTTGGGCGGTATTGGGGCAGTCTTGGAGGCCTCTTGGGCCGTCTTGGAGCGTCGGGAAGCCGAAATGGCGCGAAGGCAGACATGTGTCAAAAACCTACGTAAAATAAACGATGTTGGCCTTGTGGGGCTCTCTTGGGCGGCTTCTTGGAGGCCGCTTGGGGTGTCTTGGCGGCCTCGTCGGCCATCTTGGATCCATCTGGGGCGTCTTTGGCCGATCTTTCGGCGACTCGAAGCCTTCTTGGACTATCTTGTGGACCATCTTGGGGCCGTCCGTGCCTCCCGGAAGCGCGTCTGCAGAAATGGGGCCGTGTGGTGCCGTCTTCCGCCGTCTTCTGCAGGCGTTCCGCCCGTCGCCGGGGCCATGTCCCGGGGGGTCCCCCCCCAGACCCCCCCAGGGGGACAGGGAACCCCTCCGCCAGGTCGGGGAAAAAGTTCGGAAACACCTATGCACTCGTAGCACTGGTACATGTCCACCAGAACAGACACAATATGTTTTCCAACTGCGACCGCGGCCCCGGCATCGAAATCATTCGGATACGCTGCGTCAGAAGATGGCGACGCTGGCCCGCGCGCCCAGCTAGCTGGGTGCTTGTTGCCCCTCTCCCAAACGACAGACAGAGGTCCACGGCGCCTCCCCCGTACTCTGCTGATGATGCTGCCCATCTGGCTTTCCGAGCCGCGCGAGTCGGGCACGCGGGCGTTCGCCAGGCCACGACAACCGTTCTCGCACGTCTCGAAAAGAACAGGCCGAGGGACCCAAGGCTATCTTGGCAGGGAAGCCGCGCAAACCTTCCTTACGTCCGCCACGTTGACATCTGGCAAATCCTCCCAACGCGCAGCGTCGACGGGCAGCGTCGGCGCCCCACAGTTGTGCATGGCCCAGAGAAGCTGCCACCGATCAACGCAGCCTCACGCTGATATTGCTCGGCTCGCTCAATGTCCCCGTGGACCTCCTGCCTCTCGCTAAGACGACAGAACCTGTGAGAGCGCGCAACGCCACCCGCAAACGAATCGTTCGCCCACCTGGCCCACGATTGTGCACCCACGATCGCACGGGCGGCCCCCTTGCCATCCACAACGCCCATACGGGCCTGCACCTCATCACAAAAGCCAAGATCCGGGAACCTGTCAACAATGCCTGACACGAAATCCGCGCTTCACTGGAAACGCGTTCATCAACCCAAGGTCCCCGCCGACTGTGTCTGAAGAAACCCCCTAAGTCAGAGAAAAGCGTGGCGATCATGTCAACGTCAGAGGTGTCAGACTTCAGCATGCTCCCAAGGCGGCACCTCGCAGATCGCAAGCGCCTCAGCCCTCTGCCAAAGACACGCCGCGCCTCGACGTCATCGGGCGCGGGGGCGATGGGGCTTCGAACCCCGAAGATTTCCCGTGTACTGCTCGGCCTCATGGAGCTCGCGACATGCACAGCTGGGCCTAGAGGAGCTCACGAGCCAACTTGGCCTGATGACGGAGCTCTGCTTGTCCCCCTTGCGCTCCAGCGCCTGGCACCTGTTAGCCGCCGCGCGCAACTGGGCCGACAGCGGTTTGGCGGCGGCACGCTCGAATTAGGGCTCGCCAACCTCGGTTTTGAGCTCCTGCCGCACGCGCGCGATGCTGGGGTCCGAGGAGCACCCGGGCGAGCGCAGCGTGCCGCGCAGGGTCTCGAGCCTCGTCTGGACTGGGTCCTCGGCCCCGAGAGCGGTCGAGCTCGCCGCACCCCCGTCCCTCTCCGAAAGAGAGGCCCTGTTCTGCTGAGTCTCCTTGGCCTGCGCGTCGCGCCTACCTTTGAGCGCAGCATCCGCCCCTGCTCCTGTCCTACTGGGCAGTGGCAGGCCTCGACGCGGGGCAGCCATCACTGATCTCGCGGTTGCCAGCGAATGCAATGCCATGGCTCGCGCCACATACTGGACAAGTCGGTTTGTCTGCACGGTTCCACCACCTCTCTCCCGTTCCGTGAGTTGACGCACCACTTTCAGAACAACTAGCTGTCAGCTGCACGACGCCGCTTCGGAAAACCATCGAGACCGACAGCCATCAGGCAAGCTCCGCGAGCCACAGGATTGGAGCGAATGGGCCGCCAGGGGGCCCGTGGAGTACTGGCCAGAGGAACTGCAAAACTGTCTGCACAGAAAGCATTGAAAGCTGGCCGCGGACTAGCGGTATGTATTCACTTGTATTACGAGGAAGCACTAAACCTTGAGCCAAAATGGCTAGGGAGATGCGGAGGATGAGGAGGAGGAGGAGGAGGAGGAGGAGAGCTCGACCGACAACGTGTCGGGCTTGTGTGGCCCAATGGAAGTTCGGCGCGGGATCCAACTTGCGTGCCCTGGTCCCACGCCAACAGCAGGAAGGTAATCTTGTGGTTCGCTGCGCTCGCTGTGCTCGTTCTGCTACATTGCGTGTCTCCAACTTGGCCTCCCGTTGTCCTGTGCAGGTTTCGGGCTGGGCGGTGTAGTGTCCCACGAGACTCGCGAAGGGTGAAGTCAAACTCGGTGCGAAAGTGTCTCGAACTTCCTCGCAGTCTACAGTACAGGTCTAGTGTAACGCCCCAAAGTGGCTCCGGCATGGTTGACTCAATCATGCCGCGGGTTGTGCCCAGGAGGAGGATCGACGCAGATCTCCGACGATCTGACTTTCGTCTGGGCGTTTGTGCTCGATGTTGGCCTTTGGGCGGTCACCAGCACCAACAACACAAGGATCCAGGACGAAAGATCATCTCCCAAAAAGGGGTCGGGACTTCTGGGACCGCGGATAAAAAAGCACGCGCGCACACATCGTAGAGGAGGAGGAGGACAAAGAGGAGGAGGACCAAACACGAAAACCCAAATGCATCAACGCTGCTGTAATACACCCTCCCGTAACGAGTCCCCTCCCTGCATGTCCCTGCCCCCGAGCCCATCCCCCCCCTACGTTGCCCCTGGAGATTGGTGAGGAACGAGGTGAACTTGTGTGGTTGCTCTCCTCCGAGAATGGGAGGATTGGGGGCGTCCGCGAGAAGCCAGGCCGCCGTCTTCATCCCCGTCTTACTCCTCTTCGTCCTCCTCTTCCTCCTCCTCTTCCTCCTCCTCCTCCCGAGGCAACGAGGACAGCCCCCAAGGACGGCCCATGGAGGCCCCCCCCCCCGAGAAGGGGGATTGCCCCTCCCTGAGAGAGCCCAGGGTCACACTAATGAATACACACACATATCCCAGGATTCCCAAGATTCTTGCATATTTTCGTGGTTTTCGTCTCCCCCCCCCACTTCTCATATTTTCCATATTTCTGGGAATCGACGATTAATTGTGTCTGTGTGTTTTTCCCCTCCTGACTCCCCCCCCCCATTCGTGTCTCCGCATCGGTTTCCATAGAACTGCTGGGTGGGAGCACAATATTAACTGCCCCGACACGCAACACGCAACACGTAGCGCATTGAAACGGAACTCAACACGTAGACTGAACACGTAAGTTTTGAACACGAGCGTTTTGAAAACGGCACGTGTTACGTTTCAAAACGTGCGTACCAGAGCAGCTAAGAGCACAGTGCACCTGCTTCGCCGAACTGGCCTGACGCTTCACCGCACAAGCCAATCCAGAAAGGCAGGCGTCGACTCGCTGGTGGCCTGTTCGAAACCAAGCTGTAGATGAATCTCTAGCGAAAGGTCTGACCCACCGTGTGCATTGTCATGCCTAGCGGCGCGACGACAAGGAGTTATCGACGGAGCGGTGGAGCAAAAGGGAGAACAACGACGAGGAGCAGGAGCAGGAGAAGCCGGTGAGGCGGCAGGGGCAAGGGCGGCAGAAGGATGGCTCGAGGCCAGAAACTGTACACATCCAACAACTGGGGAGCCGGCGTCCGAGGGCAAGCTCTCGAGCCCGTTTGGGGGGTACAACGATATCCAGATCCACTGCCTCCTTTGGGCGTTGGGGTATCGATTCCCCAGATGGTGGATGCGTAGGAGGTTCTGCCCTCGGAGATGAGAAAGCGGAGCCTCTGCCGACTCTGGCAGGAAGCACTCGACGTACTGCCACTGCTCGGGCTCGTAGCTCCACCTGCTCCGCCGCGCGCCCGGACCCGCGTCGCTGAGGCACGCGGCCTCGGGGGCTCCCCCGCGCCGGAACCAGCCGTCGCAGCCGTCGGAGACCCACACGTGCGCCCCGTCCACGCAGCCGTACGAGAGTCCAAACACGCAGCGCCCCACGGACCACTCCTCAGCGGAGGCACAAGCAACTGCAGGTGCCGCGGCCCTCCCCACGCGTCGCCACGGCTGGAGTCGCCTCGAAATCCTGGGGAGACCGCGCTCCGGGAGAGGTCTGGGACGTAGCGTTAAGTCGGGCGTGTCCCCCTACAGGGGGATTTTCGCCGAGAAATTAAAAATACACCGAAAATAATCAAACAATAATCCAAAAATAGTCCGGGGACTATTTTTTTGTATTTTTTGACATTTTGGGTTTTTTGGGGGGGTATGTTGTATTTTTCATCGAAAATCCCCCTGTAGGGGGACAGGCCCGACTTAAACGTAGCGGTATCGGTACATGATGAAACTCCCCCAACTCCCGCAGCAGCCGCAGATCACAGGGTTGTGGGCCCGCAAGCGCGCCACGCCCCCTTCGGCGCAGCACCCGCACTCGCGCCCCGCGACGCACCTGCGCCGCGAACGGTGCAAGCCACCTCTCGGCAAGCCGATCGCGCAAGAAGCCGAGGCTCTCGAGCGGGTGCCGTGGCGTCGACACGGACGGCTCGCCGCCGCGGTCTCCCACAAAGACGGCACCTTCGGCCGCGAAGCGCGCCACGTTCTCGAAGAAGATCCCCCTGCGGGCGGGCGGCACCGAGGCGACCACGTCCACCGCCAGCACCCAGTCCGCCCTGCCGTCGCCCCAGGGCAGCACGCCGGGCGCAGACAGGTTCCTCGGCCGCAGCTGCACGTCGTCTGCCCGCGGCACCCACTCGGGGCCCATGCTAGGGGAAGGAGCAACGACATAAACCTAAAAACTCGGAGGACCGCGCGGATGTCTCGGATCGCCGCTGGAGCCCCCTCGCGCGTCAGGGGCGGCGCCGGAGGCGCCGCCCAAGGGCTCCAGCGCCGATCCGAGAGATCCGCGCGGATCTCCGAGTTTTTTATGTTTATGTCCTTCTTGGTTCCCCGAAATGCCCATCTCGCCCAGCGCCGGGGAGATGCCGCGGCAGGCGCGGTCGAGGCAGCAGCGCCTGAGCAGCTCGGGCTGCACCTCTGCGGCCCCGCCGGCCCCGGGCGGGGGCTCGGCGCGGCAGCCGCGCGGCCGGCCGCGAGGGGCCGGGAAGGCGGGCTGGGCCAGGTCGAGGCGGAGCAGGTCGTCGCCCAGGACCTCCCGGAGCCCCGGCAGCATGTCCACGCCGGCGAGGCTCGCGGGGTAGGACTGCAGCCAGCGCTCCAGCATGGTCGCCCTGCCGCAGCCAAAGTCCAGGACCTTCGCGGGGCGGCCCAGCCGCGCCCACTCGGCGAGCAGCAGGTGCAGCAGCCGGGCGGTCAGGAGAGCGTTGTGCTCGAAGTGGCCCGGCAAAAACTTCAGTGGCGCGCGTCGCCACTCCGCCCCCGAGAAATACCCGTGCGGGTGGACATCCAGCGGCAGCGTCTGGCAATTATCCTCGCCCTCCGCGTGCCCGCCCGCGCGGGTGGCATGCGGGTCCTTCGACAGGAGATTGAAGCAGATGCCGCGGTGCTGCCTCGCCAGGACGTTCGAGGCCAGGAGGGACACCTCCCACAGTTCTTCGGTGTCCAAGCCGTCTGGGGTGTCCTCGAACGCGCGGTGAACGGGCCACAGCCTTGGGTTCAGCAAGGCGTCGTAGACTTGCAGGTAGGGCGCCATCTCCTCAGGCCGCCCGACGGCGAAGCAGTCGTTGACGTACTGCGTGAGGCCCTCGGTGGCCCGCCACGGCAGCCACACCACGCCCGGTGCCTCGAGGGAGGCCACGTCCTCTGGAGACCCGAACAGGTACCGACGCCGCTGCTGCTTCCCAGGCCCCTCCCGGGGGCGCGCTCTGGCCAGAAATCCAAGGAGACTCCCGCCGTGGCGACCAGGGCCCTCCGGCACGAGCGGCGGCATCGGCACCTCTGGCACTCCTCGGGTCCTCGGGGAAGCGGTGCCAGAGCGCGTCGAGCCGCCCGCGAGCCAGCAGCTGGTAGTCGCCGCCGGCGGCCAGGTCGGCGCAGGCGCGAACCTTCCTGAGCTGCCCCAGGAAGGCCTCGCGCCGCCAGCCCGTCCGCGGCCCGCTTCGCAGCCAGCGCGCCTCGGCGGGCGTCCTGGCCGCCTCGTCCACGCACAGCAGCTCGCGCAGCCGCAGGTCCCGCAGTGCCGCGGAGGTCTCTGGAGGAACAAGAAGCGACAGGAGCATAAACGATGGGAGCTCCGCGGGGAGTTCTTGGATCTGCGCTTGCCCCCTCCCCCCCCGAGCGCGCGAAGCGCGCAGAGGGCGGCGCCAGAGGCGGCGCCCGGGGGCCCAGCGCCGATCCAAGAAACCCGCATGGAGCTCCGAAAGCTTATGCTCACGTTGCGTTTCCTTCCTCGAGGCTCGGCGCACTCGTGGGAGCCCACCACCGCGAAGACGTCGACCGAGTAGCCCGCGCCGCGCAACCGCCGCAGCACCACCGACTGCAGCGGCGCCACGAAGAGACGCTGGGGGTCCAGGAGGGCGGCCCGCAGGCTCCCGGTGAGGCACAGCGCGGCGGCGCGGCCGCGGCCCGGCCCCTTCGCGCCGGGGGTGCCCATCCCGCGCGCCCCCTAAGGCTGGGAGGCAACTGCTGGGAGGTTTTTCGTCGGGAGGAGCAGAGAGGATTAGGCCCCCTTGGGGGGCGGCTGTTGCGCCGGAGTGGGCCTCGAATGAAGCCGGAGTGAGCGGGATCCAGCGGGATTGAAGTGGATTCAGCGGGACGAAGCGGGAGTAAGTCGGATGTCGGACCAGGGCAAAACCAGAATTGGACCTCCCGGGAGCTGCATCCAAAAACCTAAGAGGTCCCCCCCTGGGCGCGCCGGGCCAGCTGCAGGGGCAGGGGCGAAGCCAGCCTTGAGCCACAGGGGGTACGACCCAGCAGGACGCCGATTTCGCAGCGCGGCCGCAGCTGTCCCACGGCTATCGCCCGCGGGAGGACCAAGTGCCGGCGAAGACCCGCGCCAGTGCGCAGATCATCCAGCTCACACATGCCCAAACACTTCTTGCACTGAAGTGGCTCCTGCCTCGGACCTGAGACATTAGGTGCCAAGTGTCGCTGGTCGTTCGTGGCCGTCGGTCCGTCGCTTGCACCCATGGTCTGCGCCAATCGCTGCGGCCACAGGTTGCGCCATGGGTGCCGCTGGTCCGAGACATGCTTGAGGCTAGAGGTCGCGCCCATGGACTGCGCCGTGGGCTGCGCCACGGGTGCCACGAATGTTTTGTGGATATGGGTTGCGTCCACGGGTCGCGCCACAGGCTGTGCACGCGTGCAGGGAACGTTCGCGGCAACAGGCTCGGCACACGGGCTGCTCCAAAGTTGCTTGCGGCCACAGTTTGCTCCATGGGCTGTGTATGCTCCACCAAGATTGTGTGAGGCCATTAGGCTGCGCCCACAGACTGCGCCATACTTTGGGCGTTCCGCCATGGGCTGCGGAATCTAAGTTGCTGTGCATTGCTTGTGTCGCGTTGCTTGACATGCCTGTGCTTCCGCTGTGCGCCGTTTTGCGCTGATGTGTCTGTCTTGCACTGCAGTGCTTCGCCTTGTGTGCTTTCCGCTGCACTGCCTGTGCTGAGTTCTGGCCCGCGTCGCCTTCCTCTTTGGTCGCGTCGTTTGCGTCGCACTGTCTGTGCCGCGCTGCCTCGCACCATCACGGTGCATCGCGCTGCGCTGCCGTGCCTTGCACTGCAGCGCCTCGCACGAGCCCGGCTTGCCCCCCGGCCCGAGCCGCGCTGCGCGTGTGCTTCCCTGCGCTGCTCTGCCCTGCGCCACCCAGGCGGCAACGACTCCCAATGCTATACACGCCGTTCGTTTCTAATCGTGGGCTCATTTCTAACTGTGCTCGTTTCTACTTGTTCCCAGCCCCCTAGTGGCCAGGAAGAGGCCCAGGATAGAAGAATTAGAAATGAAAGGATCTTGGCCCCCAAAAAAACAAAGAACCTTCGAAGAATTAGAAATGAACCATGTGTAGGGATCCCCGCTGGACTCCTGCGCATCGTCTGAGTCGCCAAAACGGGCCCCGAACCCTTTGGGAGGGGACCTAAGTCAGGAGGGCCAGGAACATCAGGGCTGGGGTGTCCTTTCTGCAGGTGTATCGAGCCAAACCGCCCAGATCCATCATCCCTGATGCGAAGACGGGGACCTCAGTGAGGCTACGCCTCCATCGTGTTATCAGGGTTAGGGGTTCTCTTATCCTCGATGGTGGTCACATCATTCATCCTCTACCTTTCTGCCTGCCTCAGGCCTCCCTCCACCTACCTGCACTCCTGCGTCGATCCTCTGCTGTCGCACTTTCTGCCAGGGAAGGGGGGAGAGGGGGGGGGGACGAGTTGTGGTCCGCTTTCCGGGGGGAGCTTTTCCCAGCCCACGGGGGCCCCAAGACGGGCCAAGAGGGCCCCAAGAACCCCCAAGACGGCCCCACAAGCCCCCGAGACGCCCAAAGAGCGCTCCAAGACGCCGAAGATGACCTCCAGACGGCCCAAGAGGCCGCCGAGACGCTCCAAGAAGCCTCCAAGAGCCCTCAGAAGAGGACCCTTCGAGGCCAAAATCATAAATGTTGCAATGGTTTTGGCCTTCCCGCCTTTTCGGCTTCCCGACGCTCCAAGACGGCCCCAGAGGCCCCGAAGATCGCCCCAAGACGGCCCAAGAGGCTCCCAAAATTGCCCAAGACGGCCCAAGAGAGACCCAAAGGCCCAAGAGAGCCCCAAAGCTGCCCAAGAAACCCCCAAGACGGCCCCAGAGGCTTTTAAGACGGCTCCAAGAGGGGAGCCAGACGGGGAACCCGAACGAAAATTTCGAGCCCTCGGCCTCAGAAGCCCACAAGAGGCCCCAAAGAGGCCCCAAGAGGGTCCCCAGAGGCCCCAAAAGGTCCCAAGAGGCCCTAGCAGGACCCAAGAGGCTCAGAAGAGGCCTTCAAGAGGCCCAAAAGAGGCCACGAGGGTCCCAACGCCCCAAGGATGCCTCAACCCAACGAACACTGAAGAGCCCTCCGACAGCACCCAGGCACGGTGGCGGCATTGGCCGAAGGCCACTACATAATCGTAAACGTCACCGTCATCGTCATCATCATCATCATCATCATCAGCCTCCTCTTCCTCCTCCTCCTCCTCTTCCTCTTCCTCCTCGTTCTCCTCCTCCTCCTCCTCTGTCTCCTCCTCCTCCTCGTCATCGTCCATCCCAACAATAGCATCAAAAGCGCCCCGGATCGGCGGCACTGGCCGGAGGCCAATGCAACAATCGTCGCCGTGGAATTGTCTGCGCATCCGCGCCCAAATGCACGAGGAATGCCATAAGTAGAAGCCCATTGTGGACCGTATCCCCGATTGTTGACTATACTGTGCGCTCTCAGGGATCAAGACATCACTCTGTCCACTCTCAAAGACCGCGCTCGCCACCCCACAGCGGATGAACATCGAAGTATATCCCAGTGTCTTTACCGCATGTTGATTATTGCAACGGCCGTTGCGCAGCCCTCTTCGTTTCGGCAAAGCGCCACGCATTCCTTCGGCACTTGCAGATGTCGCGACGCATCTCCGTCCTTCCAGTTTCGTCTTCGCTTCCGGGCTGACTATCTTCCGCACATCGCAACACGATTCCATACGCAGGGCCACGCACAGGGCAACTCTCGACTGCACGCAAGCGTGACCCTGGATAAGAGTGACCTTTGGTGCGCGGCTTCACGGGGTACGCGGGGTGGCCAAATCAAAGTGCGCAAGCCGCTGCCATTGCATCGCATTCGGCGATCGGGGACCCCCATTGGGCCCGCACCAGAGGGCACTCCGGCGAAGGGTCACTCGCACGTCCAATCGAAACTCAGCAGCAAAGGAGCATTGAGCCACGGCACGATCCGGCCGGATTCTTTTTTGCTTCCCGCGCCGAGGCGGCTGGCCCAGCGAAGCGCTGTGCCCTGCGAGCGGATAGCGTGTCGCGGGACGGGGTGCCGGGAAGATCTCGGGACGTGCACGCGTGGGGGCCAGGACGTGGCCGGCGTGCCGCGTCGGCGGGGTGGTGGGTCAGGCCAAGCGGCGCGACACGCCAGGCAGAAGTTGCTGCCCCGATACACTTCGAACAGACGAGAGCACAAGCATACTTTCTCTGAGGTCCGCACGGACTTCTTTGATCGGAGCTTGACCCCTCCCCCCCCCCCCTGGCGCGCGGAGTGCGCCAGTGCGACAGGGGCGACGCCGGAGGCGGCGCCAGGGGGGCCCGAGCGCCGATCCAAGAAATCCGCGCGGACCTCCGAGAAATTACGTCTATACCGGATGTAACCTCCGATCGGAGCCAAGATGAGGAGGGTGAGGAGCTCTGCCTCGCATCGGCATCGCAGCACTGATCCTCGAGGGCCGCGGGCCCTTCGGCGAGGTACCTGTTCCTCTCGGGCCTCGAGCCTACGACGCACTCATCCTCGTCGTGGCCTCGACTGTACAGGTTTGTGCCTCGAGCGGCAGCCCTGGCCGGGCGACACCAGCGCGGCGACAAACGGGCACGCCGAGGGGAGGGAAGCGAGGAGGAGGAGGGGAAACAGAGAGAGGGAGAGGGAGAGTGGCGGAGGGAGCAGGCAGGAGCCCAAGATCCGCATACACGTGCGCCCGGCTCGGACTGAAAAATGCCAGCGGCACGCGATCACCGAGAGAAGCTGTAGAAGATCGCGCCCAACGAATTCTTCGCATCTCCGTACTGCACTGAGCCACCTTCGACGGTGACTGCCATGGGCAGCAGAGAACGACCCGTCCCTGATGAATACTTCCCTGTGGCCATTAGTCATCGTTTCCCGCGAGCCATGCCCACCACACCACCCCAAGCAACTATCTTCGCCATCCAAGCTGCAGACGATTCCTCCGGACCGCCGCAAGGCTAAAAACAAAAGAGTGTAACAACCCATGAGGGCTGGACCGTCACAAAGGAGCCACGGCACATCCTCTGGAAAAGAAGGCCTGCCAGAAGGCATTCAGGCCTCGCTTTGCGAGGCGAGGCCTGGCCCATAGAGGGACCGTCTCGTCGCCAATAGTATCACCGAGCTGAAATAGTTGCAGGCCTGCCAGCTACAGCTGAGCTGCGCTGGCGTGCTGCATATCCGCATTCGCGGGCGTCTCCGCCGAATGGCAGCGAACTGCCCTCGGCGTGCGAAACATCCACAGAGGCTGGGTCTGACGAAAGGAGTGGTTAGTAGGAAAGGGGTGGCCAGCGAATCAGCTGACGCTGATGGCTCCCCAGGCACCTCGCGGCACCGGAGGCGCCAATGTACACAGGAAAGCGCCTGGCGGCGGGGCCGCAACCACCAGTGTGCAGCAGATTGCGTTGCCCCCCTTTCGCTCTCCCACCTTTCGTCCGATGCAAGAAAACGTTGAAACCATACACATGTCACGCTAGGCAGGGAGTTGATGCAGGATTGAGGGGGAACGTGAGGGAGAACGGTCTCAGAGGGGGAAACCATCGAGCTGGAATCGGCGTTAGGCCCCGATAGCGAGTCCGCACGTTCCTGGGCTGGGTGGGGGGGGCCCCTCCCCATCCGCGATCGATGGGCAACTGGGGGTCGATGCGCGCCCCCCCTTCTGAGCCGAGGAGGAGGAGGAGGAGGAGGAGGAGGAGGAGGAGGTGGAGGAGGAGGAGGGGGAGGAGGAGGAAGGGGAGGAGGAGGAGGAGGAGGAGGAGGAGGAGGAGGAAGAAAAGCAGCAAAACTGGTGCGGGGCGGCAGGCGCTGACGGATGAAGGGGGGACGGGGGCTCGGAAATGATTCTTCGCGGAAGGCCGTTCGGACACTTCTGGAGGCTCTCGGTGGGCGCTGTCGGGTTCCTCCGCTCTTCGGGAGCATCTGCGGGCTTTGTGCAAGGCCTCGGGCTGCTTGCGGGCTGTTCTCGGGAGGTCTTAACAAAAATACGTCGAAGGTGGCCGTCAACTTCTCCGATCGGGAGTTGCCAGAGGTTGCCCTGGCCAAGGATGGCCGCAGCTGTTTTGGGGGGCGGCCTCCAGGGCGCCCTGTCTCACGGGGCCCGGAGGGCCCCCATAGGGGGGGCTCTGCGCGGCGCGGAGCGCTGGGGCGCCACCCTGGGCCAGGGCCACCTGTGGCAAGCCGCGAGAGGGGGAGGCGAAGGCGGAGGAGGTTGGCGCGCACTGCGCGCAGAAAATGGAAGGCTTGACGGAGGGTGGGCCGCACGACCCCCAGCTAGCTGCAGGCAGGCTGAGCCCCCTGCAATCATTGAGAGTCTCGGAGTCAGGCGTCTGAGTACTGCAGCTGTGATGGCAAGTTAGACACTCAGGGTGGGCTCACAGCTTGGACCGTGCCCAGTGTAGACGTTGGAGCGCGAGGCAATCCATGGCCAGACGAAGCTGACAGTGGCACTGGGCAGATGGAACTAGATCAACCCAGGCGCCTCGAGCCAGAACGGTTTCGGCCAGAGCAACATGATGAGGATTAGGAAAGGTCCGCCGATTCCCGGTTGCCGAAATGGTTGACTGGCCCAGTCCCCCATGTCCCCCTTCCCGGGGGGTACAACATCCAGTTTGACGGGGGGGCACGATCGCCTAAATGCAATGCTGGTCCCCTTCGGAGCCTACACAGGCACCCTCTGACGCCTCAAGATATCCAAATATGCCCTCAAAAACAGCTCAAAAAGTGCTCGAGTACACCAAGGAGACCAATACGATAACTGATGCAACCCCAAGAGACCTCAATGAATCTCAAATAGGTCACATCAGGGAGCCCATACTCCCCAAATGCGTCAAGCAACCTGTGGTGATAAATGCTTCCCATTGTGGGCCCCAAACTCTAAGTCATTGCGCTGTTGACGTGTGAGACATCGTGTGCAAGCTGCGTACAATATGTTTTCCCAAACTTTGCCTGCATTCAAGGGTCCTCACTTGCGTGTCTACGGAATTACATGGGTCTGGAGAAGTTTCGCCATGCTGCCGCCAGCTGCCGTTTCGTTGCCGCCTCGTGCGTTGGGTGGGTCTGGCGAAGCTTCGCAACAGCGCCGCCCGTCGCAGCCTCATTGCCGCCTCGTGCGCTTGGTGGGTCTGGCGAAATTTCGCCACGTTGCTGCCCGTTGCCGCCTCGTTGCCGCCTCGTGCGCTGGACGGGTCCGGCGAGGGTTCGCAACCTTGCCGCCCGTTGCAGCCTGGTTGCATCCTCGTGCGCGGGGTGGGTCCGGCGAGGTGTCGCCACCCTGCCGTCAGTGAGGTGCCACGTTGCCGCCACGTTGCCGCCTCGTTGCCGCCTCGTACGATAGATGGGTATGGCGAGATTTCGCCGCGTTGCCGCCTGTTGCAGCCTCGTTGCAACCTCGCGCGTTGGGTGGATCCCGCGAATTCTGGCAACCTTGCCACCCGCTGCCGACCTCGTTGTCGCCTTGTGCGCTGGATGGGTCCCGCGAGGTTTTCGCAACGTTGCCGCCCGTGGCCGCCTCATTGCTGCTCCGTTGCCGCCTGGTGCGCCAGGTGGGTCTGGCGAGGTTTCGACACGTTGCCGCCCGTGGCCGCTTCGCGGCCGCCTCGTGTGCTTAGTGGGCCTGGCAAGAATTCGCAACCTTGCCGCCGGTTACCGCCTCGTCGCTGGCGAAAATGTACCACGTTGCCGCCCGTTGCCGAATCGTTGCCGCTTCTAGCTTGCACGACGTATACTGCACTACATTGTTAACATCACGTAAATGACACTTCGTAGCCAACACATTCACAATGCAATAGCTGAGTACTGTGTGGAGTCAGCGCTGGCTACAATATGTGGTGCAGGCTGTGGTGCCAAGTATGTGATGCAAGGTGTGTGGTGCAAATTTTGTGGTGCAAGCTCTGTGGTGCAAGCTACGTGGTGCAAGTTGTGTCGTCCATGTACATCCTGCGCGGTGCAAACTATGTGGTCCAAGCTACGTCGTGCAGGCCACGTGGTAAGCCAGATGCGCGATAGCTACGCGCCTTTCTTACATTGTACTGCGGTGTGCAAGCTGCGTTGTGTCAGCTGCGCTGTGTGAAAAATGGGGCAAGCTACGTTAACACCTATGTGGGGAAAACCGCGCGGCCGACCAGCGCACGAGGCGCCGACCCGCGGGCGCCCACGGGCGGGTGCCAGGCGCCACCTCGGCTTGCCCACCCAGCTGCCCAGAAAGATTCCGATGTGGCGTGCGACCGTCCCAAGAAGGCCCATCGACGCCCACACACATTCACACACACACAAACACACACACACACACTTTTTACCAGCGCGGACGGAGCCCTATGGCACCACACGACGGACGACACGAAGGACGACGACGCCGAACGACAGAAGGCGGGGGCGGGAGGGCCCGCGGGGGGCGCCCGCGCCCGGCGGAGCCCCGCTCAGGCCCAGCAGCCCTCGGCCGCGGCGATGTGCCGCCCGCCTCCCTCGCCGCGCCGATGCCGGCCGCCAAATAGCCCATGCGCTCCGCGAGCTCTGGGTCCCGCAGGCGGCCGCGCGCGGCGTCCAGCTTCCGCTGCAGCTGCCGACCACCCCCCCGCCCCCAAGACCCTCCAAAACGACCAAGACCCCAGAATGGACGCCAAGATGGCCCCCGCAGAACTCCAGGAGCGCCTCGCCAAGACTGCCCAACGAGGTCACAAAATAGTTACACAATTCCTCGGTCACGCGCATGTCCAGGCCACACCCCTCAATACTCACTGAATGAATGATGTGTGTGTGCTATCCTCCCCCGAGGTGCCCGCCACACGGCTCCCATGGTGTAGGCTCCCTGAGTGTTGCCTCCTGCCGCTGACGTTGCCAACATGAAATAAAATGACACCCTGCGGCGTACCCAACCTATGTGGCGGATTTCGGAAACTCTGAACCCAAAAACGTGTTCATCTCGTGGGGACGCAACTTGTACTTCCGCCGCCTTTCGCCGAGCTTCCGCGGGCTTCCGCCCGCGGAGGCGGCCTCGTTTTACTTCCGCCGACCTTCCGCCGACCTTCCGCCGCCCTTCCGCCGCCTTCCGCCGAAGAAGAAATGACAACTTCTTCGATCCTCTACGGCCAGGCTCGTTTTGGAGCGCCCCATGTGTAGAAAGTGATCCGGGCAGGTGGCCGAAATTGCTTATGGATGATAACGGTACGAGAGCCACCACTTGCTGCGCAAACCACGGGCGAAGCGCACGCACGTCACGGCTCACAGGCCAGCAATAAAAGGGCGAGAAGTGAGGCCCCGGGCTCGGAGAAGAAGAGGGCGGGAAGGAGCCCCTCAGGGGCAGCATAAAGGCCCCTGGGACACACACAAATAAATAAACACAAATCTCAGGAATCCCCATTCGTATCGTTATTTTCTGGGTGTTCGTCCTCCCCCCCCCCACGTCCCGTATTTTGCAATATTTTCCTGGGAGTCGACGATTCATTGTGTCTGTGTGTTTGTCCCCTCCTGCAAGAGGGCGGACGGAATGGGGGGCCTCACAAAAATCAACGCGGCAGGTCGGCTGTGGTGCAGGAGCTGCTTCGGGACACTGCGGCGCGCAGCGGTCACAGCAGCGCCGCCAGTCACGTGACCGTCGACCAAGAAAGCACACGCTTCGGCCACACAGAACATCCTGCTGAAGATGGTGAGGAGATCGCTCGCCAGCACCACCTGGTCCTCCACTCAGGAGCTCATCCTCAGCCACACCCGATCCAACAATTCTCTGCCATCTGGCCACGCGTGCTCATCTCGTTCGGGGGCGTCCGCCGTGATGTTTGGGGGGAGGGCCCTTTTGCCCTGGCCCTTCACCTGCATGGCCATGCGCACGGCCTTCACGATGTTGTGGATGCACCCGTCCGCTTGGCGACGCGTCTGGTGGCTCTGCGCTTCGCTTGTTCTTGATGGAGAGTCCCCGCCCTGCCAGAAGCCATAGCATGCCCGAACGGAGGGCTTTGGCACGGCACGCAAACCTAATTATGCGGGCCGCACAGCGGCCTGGGCGGGGAGCACGAGGGCACCCCCGGGCGCGCTCCACGCAGGCCCTTGACGGGAGGCGCGCACAGTCAGTGAGGCCTCCCCGGCACCCGATGTCCTGCGTATGTACCTTCCGGCATCCTCGCAAGAAGGCCGCCGCGGCTGGACCCACCGCGGTCGCCTCGGAGGAGGAGTAGGAGGAGGAGGAGGAGGAGGAGGAGGAGGGGGAGGAGCAGGAGGAGGAGGATGAGGAAAAAAAAAGAAAAAGGAGAAGGAGGAGGAGGAGGAGGAGGAGAAGGAGGGAGGAGGGAGGAGCACGACGAGGAGGAAGAGGCGGAGGAGGAGGAGGAGCAGGACGAGGACGAGGAGGAGGAGGAGGAGGACGAGGGGAGGGGGGGAGGACGAGGACGAGGAGGGCGAGGACGAGGAGGAGGACGAGGAGGAGGAGGAGGAGGAAGAGAAGAGGACTCTCGCCTCCCCCCTCCTTCTCCCGGCCACGGGCTACATGGAGAGCCGGGTCGTCTTCAGCGCCCCCAGGAGCTCGACGGCCGCCCCCTCTGCGGCGGCGGGGCGCGGCGCTGCCCTCGGGCAGTCGCCGTCGCCGACGCTGGGCACCACAGGGGTCTTGGCGCAGATGCCGCCGACGCCGCCCCGCGCGCAGCCCGCCACCGCCGCCGCCATCGGGAGCGCCGGCTCGACCCCGCCGCTGGACGGCGTCCGCAGCTGCTGCGCCCGCTGCACCAGGAGGTCCATGCAGGTGAGGAATCTCTGGGAAGAGGGCGTGTCGGCGAAGAGGAAGCGCAGCTTCTTCTGCAGGAACTCAATGATGACCACCCGCTCGGAGCTGTCGCCCTGCTCCTCGGAAGGCCTGCTGCCCTCTCTACTGACGCAGAACACGCTGGACGCACGATCGAGAGGGAACTCGACGATGTGGCAGGTGGCGGCGTCCACCTTCAGGGTCACCAAGTCCTCCAGCAATTGGCAGTGGACGGTCTCGCAAAAAGCCCCTCCGGCCGCGGGGATTATCAGCTGGGTCAGGCGGGTGCCGGCACGCATCTCCAGCGCGAACTCTCGCAACATCTCGAGCAGCACCACCTTTCTCCTGTCCTCGGGAGCACTCATAAGCCCCTCGTGACATGTCATGGACTCGTGTTCCGAGGGCAGCAATCCTACGGAAATAAAGCACGCTGTGAACACACAAAGTGGATGCCGCTTTTCTTTTAGAAGCGGCTCCGTCCTGCTACTGCTCGCCATTGTATTCCCGATTCCGCCACTCCTCCTGGTCCTCTTCTTCTTCCAGGAGGGAGGCGAGACGAAGGCTCAAGGCTCAGGTACTGTTCACTGGTCTAGGCTTAGGTTGGGCATGTCCCCCTACGGGCGGATTTCGGACGGAACATTAAAAATAGTCAAACAATACCCCAACATATTCAAACATGACCCCGAAATCGTCTCCTGTAGAGGGACATGCTCGACTGAAGTTTAGGCTGGCGCACAAGCCCTGACAGAGGACGCACACACGTGTGGGTTGTCGAGTGAGCACCAGGGGACAACGAAGAGGCAAAGGGCCTCGGACGGGGGAGAGGTGTGCAGCGTCTTCGCGTCGTTGCATATGCCTTTCTTGATCTCTGCCCCTCTTCGCGATGGTGGAGAAGGAGTGATAAGGAGGAGGAGGAGAAGGAGGAGGAGGAGGAGGAGGAGGAGGGGGAGAAGGAGGAGGAGGAGGAGGGGGAGGGGGAGGAGGAGGAGGAGGAGGAGGAGGAGGAGGAGGAGGAGGAGGAGGAGGAGGAGGAGGAGGAAAAAGAGGAAAAGATAAGGAAAATGATGAGAAAAAAGGAGTGGAGCGAAGTGAAGCCCGTTGCGAACTGCAAGATGCAAGAACCAGCTGCTCGACTCCAGGGGACTCGACTGCCTCGCTCTGACTGGCTCTGCTCGGGACCTTCGGCAGACGGTGGCGGACGAGGAGGCAGGTGAGAGGAGGAGGGAGCCTGTCGAGGGAGCAGGGAGGACGTTGAGGAAGCGGACGAGGTAGAGGAACAAGAGGGGCCAAAGTGGCTCCCAAGAGGCTCCAAAAACTGCCCCCCCCCCCCGAGAGGCGCCCAAGAGCGCTGCGAAGAGACCCCAAGAAGCAGCCCTCTGATGACTCTGACCCACGTCAGGGTCGTCTTCGTTGTAGCCGCCCGCCGCCGAAGTCGTCGACGCCGTCCCCCTTCAGGGACGGCAGCACCAGCCGCAAGGCCTTCGCAATCGAGGAACGACAAACGGCAACGGATCGGCGCTGGACCCCATGTCTGGCGAAGGCGCCGCCAAGGGGGTGCGGCGCAAGTACAATACGGCGCGGGCCTTTTTTTTGATCCTCGCGAAAAACAAAGCAATCTCCTCGTCGCCGTCGCTCGTGCACCCCAGGGGCACGGGATACGCGGGCAGGTCGGGGAGCTCCAGGCACTCCGCCGGGTCCCGCCGCCCAGCCGCCGACGCCTCGGAGTTTCGGCTTCGGCAAAGCGTGTCACTACGGTCGGGCGGGTGGCAAACTGGGGGGCGACCCTCATGGGGGGGGTGAAGACAAGGACCCCAGGGCCAGTTTTAGGACTCTGTTTGCTACACCCCCCATGTATAAGTCACCCACCATTACCACCCGCCCGAGACGGACAATTCTCGACGGCTTCCTGTTTGCTTGGGACCGCACTGGGCCCCAAGACCGTCAACAAAAATATGCAGGATGAAAGACGAGTCTTGGGGAATGGATCCAAATCTATGAGAGAGCGTGATCCACCGCCGCTTTACTGTGGAAAATTGCCGCCCTTTTCCTTCAGAACCCGGGGGTCCCCTCCCCCCCCTCCGAAAATCACCCCCCCCTGCTGAACCCCCCCCCCCCTTCCCCCGCAAAACCCTCACCCCCTCCCCTAACCCCTCCCCCCCCCCCTCGAACTCGAAAACCGAGGGGGGGTCACTACCGGTTCGAACCCCCCCCCCTCGAAAACTGGAGGGGGGGGTCACTACCGGTTCGAACCACTGAGCTGTCCCACTGTTCCCACCACTGTCCCCACTGTCCCCACCACTGTCCCCACTGTACCTCTGTCCCATTGTCCCACCGCCGTCCTCGCCACCGCCTTCACCACTGTCCCCACCACCACTGTACCCTCCACTGTCCTACTGTTTCCACCACATTCCCACTGTCCCCACACCACTGTCCCCACCACCACCGTCCCCACCACTGTCCCACTGTCCCCACTGTTCCCACCATTGTCCTCACCATTGTCCCCACCACTACCGTCCCCACCACTGTCCCACTGTCACTGTCCTCACCACTGTCCCGCTGTCCCCTCACCACTGTCCCCACCACCACCGTCCCCACCACTGTCCGCACCCCCACTCGGTTTTCGAGGGGGGGGGGGTTCGAACCGCCCCCCCGGTTTTCGAGTTCGGAGGGGGGGGGGGGGTTCGAACCTGTGAGTTTTCTGGACCCCCCACGGTTTTCCGCCAGCAGCGGTAGAACACGCTCTTTCAAATCTATGGTGGACCACGGTGTGGTAAACAAAATCCAAACGTCGGAGTTCTGGGAACCAGACGCGCAGCGGAACTCTGGAATCCCGGCGCAAGGAAGTGGGCGAGGACGCTCGTCGGGGTGTGCAGACAAGGGGGGCGACGGCATCGCGGAGCGGAATCGTAAAGGCATGGTGCACAAGGCGAGCCCTCGGCGCAGGCACAGCGGCATGCTGCGGCGGAGGGACGAAGGAGGGATCGGAACATCGGAACCGGACCCGCTGCGAAGCAACATGGGAAACGAGGCAAGAGGAAGCGGAGGAGGAGGAGGAGGAGGTGGAGGAGGAGGAGGAGGAGGAGGAGGAGAAGGAAGAGGAGGGGGAGGAGGGGGAGGAGAGGGAAGAGGAGGAGGAGGAGGAGGAGGAGGAAGAAGAAGAGGAGGGGGAGAAGGAGGAGGAGTAGGAGGAGGAGAGGAGGAGGAGGAGGAGCAAGCAAGCAAGACCTGGGCAGCCGTAGTCCTGTGCTGTCTGGCTCACCTCTGTTGGGTGAGAGTTCTAGCGACGAACAATTGCTGCTGGTGCGATCAATGCGCTTCTCGGGCAGGCCTGCGGGACTTCATAGCCTATCTCGGGCCTTTAAAAGCCCGCGTTAGCACGAAGGCGCACCGCATTCGGTCAACCCGTAAAGCGCTGAGGCATAGAGCGCTTGGGCCCATACCTCAACCTCGGGGAACACAGGTGCGGGGGGAGGCCCCTCGGGAACTGGGGCCACCCAGAGAAACAACAGCAGTGCAACAGCCTCTTCGGGCCGCGTCGAAAGTTTGCGGCGTGCGTGCCTTCATGCTGCGAAGTCCTCCCTCCAGACTCCTCGTCCTCCACCCCCTCGCCCCCTCCACCCCCCATCAGACTCCTGCTGCTGTCAGGCTTGGAAAATAAAGTGATATCATTATCGCAACGTGTTGAGACTGCTTCAAGCTCAGTAGAAGGTCCAGCTGTCGGCGTATGTCTGCTCAGTACCGACCCCTCGACAAACCCGAGCCATGCAGAGAAACTGATCTGTTCCACCAGTTGAGTACTGAATGAGAACTGCATGGCGTAGTGTAAAGTGAACCCCTCAGTCCATACGCTGTCTCTGCAGGTCGCTCAGTAGTGCCTGTGCTCTCTCGCTGCCCGCACTAGCCATTCTCTGAAGTCCAGCTACATCGATTGTCCCTGCACCGACGCCTGAACGGCTCTCTCCAAAGCTCCTGGCGGTGGACTCCTCAACTTCACGACGCCTCCTGTGGCCACCAGCCCTTTGATGATGTGGAGGCGGAGCTCCGCGAGCGTCGCTTGAAGCATGTCCGCCTGGTCTCCCGTCTTCTCCTTGTAGCGCTGCAGCAACTGAGGTCGCATGAACGGGCTGATCGTGATGGGGTTCAGCATGATGTGAATATTGGCCTGAACGGCTTTCTGATTGCCCTCGTTGGAAGTCTTCTTGATGCGGAAGTAGCGCACCAGCTCGTTCACCTCCTCTCTGCCCATCGCTGCCATCAGCTTTTCGAACGGCTCGAGGATCGCCTTGGTATCTTCTGGCAAGTCCTGCATCTGCACGAGCGTGGGAATAATGCGCCCGAAGATGTGCAGGTGCGGCGGACCGAGATCTTTGCGTCCTTCTTCCGTTGCAAGGCGGTGGTACTCCTGGCCCGTCTTCAGCCCGTCCGCCACCACCTGGTGCGTCAGCGCCATTAGCAGGCAATCTCACAGGGCTCCCATCAAGATTCGTAGCACTTGGGTGTCGTTGAGCGTCAGCTTCTGCACGGTGAAGATTCGCCCCGAAAGCACAGCATCCGCATCGTCGTCTGGGCCAGGCCAACCCCCCTTGTCACGGGGTCGCTTGATGCGGCGGCCTCCGCGTGCTGGCGCTGCCGCGGCTGCCGCGGAGCCTGCTGCCCCCTGGGCAGGCAGGCCGATCATCCACATTGACATCTTCGGCTGGTCCCGCGGCGTGCTGCTTGACGTGATCAAGGTGTTGCGAAAGCTCTGAAGCATTGTGAGCGCACGCGTTACACGTATACGCTGATGCCTCTACCGGCGTAAACTCGAAAGAAACGGCTCTGGTCGGACATCTCAGCGGACTCGCACGTGACATTGTCCTCACGCGCCGTACACAGCTGGCTCTCGACGCAAACACTCTGCGACGCCAAGGGCACACATTGGTCGTTATGACCATGGAATACAACTCCCGCATTTTGTGGGTCTTGTTCAAGTGGGCCGTCAAGGCCCTCATGGTCGAAAACACGCCCCCACAAACTTCTCCTTCTGGCGTTTCATGCGTGCACACATACTCGTTCATGTCCAGCAAGTGGCTGGGGTCTCGACCTCCTCGCACTGGCTCTCGCACTACTCGCATTATTTCTTCCTGACGACCTTCTGCGCGGCAGTGTACCTGATCTGCGTCATGGCGATCGCGCCATTTTACAAGCACTCGAATGGCCTTCTCATGCTGCTGGTCATGCTGGCGGCGTTTCTTCAGACCTTCTTCGTGGCTATGATGATCAGCGCCGTGCTCTGCCGGGCCCGCACGGCGTCTGTGGTCTGCGGCATGATCGGCGCGCTGACCGCGGTGTTCTCGCACGTCGTGCTGCCACAGATCAGCAGCACAAGCGTCGCCGTCTATCTCCTCGAGGGCCTCATCCCCTTCGTCGCGCCACTCAACCTGCTGAACGCGGTCGGCGCCCTGGAGGCCACTGGCCGCGGGCTCACCTTCGGCAGCTGGGGGCGGATCTCGGCCTCCAGCGCCCAGACGGGGTCGCAGCAGGTTCACCTCGCGGCCGGCGCGCAGCTGCTCATTCTGCTCGTCGACACAGTGATCTACGGGCTCCTTCCACATACTCGTTCCTGCCGAAGGCCTCCCCCTTCTCCTCTAGCTCGTAGCGCCTGTCGAACAAGTGTCTGAAGCGCGGGGGTCGTTCCTTGAAGAACACTTTACGATCATTCTCTTTCGGGGAAAAAAATCGAGTAAACCTTCTCTGCTCTGCCATGCTTGCGCAAACTGCGACGCTGGATCGATCTTGGCGAAAACTTCTAAATCCGCCTGGAACTGTCGGGCCCACGGGGTGCTGCGCTCGCTTAGCTCTCCTTGGGGTCCAAGACGGGGGCGCTCCACTTTGAGGTCCATCTGGGCGCTTCCAAAGATCCCTGCGAGAACCTGCGAGCGCTGCCGGGGGTCCCTGGCCATCTGTTGATACCACCGAATCCTCTGGATGCGCAACTCTACTGCTGCCCGGGAAATCATGTGCTGGCCTAGGACCTTTTTGCGTGCGTCCCGCTTCTTTTTACCCCTCGAATTCTTCCGTCGCGCCTCGGCTGGGCACTCGCAGAAACCGAATGAAATCCACGTCGAGCTTGTCTGTGAAGCTGCGTGGCATAACAAATCCCGTGAGACCTGAAAGACCTGCTCCTTGCACGCACGCAACGAAAAGAAACCATCGCATATGCAGTGGGATCGGCTCGGACCACAGCTTGCCGAGCGACCTCCACCCAGCTCTGGCTGCCTTAATTTGCCCTCGAAGTTCGGCTCGCAGACTGCCGTCAAACGATATCGCGGGACCAAGTACGCGCGCCTCACGAACGACTGTGCCCACGACTGTTTTTGAGGCCGCTATGCTTTTGACGGCTGCGAACGGTCCAGCCCCGATAACGTTCGTGATGTGGTTAGTTTTGTTTTCGTTCAGTGTGTGCCCCGTCTCCCCGATGCACGCGCTCAGCTTGCCTGTGGCATTGTTCAGCTGTAGCTCCATTGCTCGTGGCGACGCTTCATAGGCATGCATGCGCACCCGTGATATATCGTCTACATGCAACCCAATGCCTAAGTCCTCCTCCTCCTCTGCAATCACCTCCTCCCCCCCCCCCCCTTCCCCCCCCCCCCCCTTCCCCGCACACACGCACACACACACACACACACACGCTTTCACATCTCAGACATGTATATGTGTGGTCATGCTCCGAGAGCTG